GGAAGCGATTCCAAAACCTGTAACCGGACCTTAGGATATTCCTTTGGACGTGAGCGCACCGGGAACTTGGGGATTTGAGTATTTCCTTTTGTGAATTTCCGTTTTGGAAGTACGTGATATTAATCAAGGATTTGTATCTCGAAATAGGTACTTCGGTTGACCACTCGCAGCAAGCGGGACCTTCTTATACATCTTGGGGACTTTGTTTTAAGCATATGCATGGTTTTATTGATGAAAGTTTTGTGCATATATTTTAAATGGTGATTTTGATTTAAAAAGCATTTGATTGATGGATTCGAATATTCTTATACATCTTGGCTATATATTTTGAGTATAGACATATATATTTGAGTATGCTGAATATGTTGATATGGTTTTCGGGATGTCTATCTATATTGCCAATGTATAGAGTATGAGAGGTTGTTGTGGTGAGATTGTGGAAAGATATGAGTTTGAGGGATGGTTGTGAGATGTATGAGTATGTTAGGTGAGTACCATTCCCTAGTTACTAGGCTTCCCACACACGTCGTTGGCAGTGCCGGTGGGGTGGGAAGGCCATGAGATTGCTGGTCTCACACATGTCGTTGGCAGTGCCGGTGTGTGAGGCACTTTCCATACGTGTCGTTGGCAGTGCCGGCGTATGGGAAGAGTATGTATATTGCTTGAGTATCATCACACACGTCGTTGGCAGTGCCGGTGGGGTGATGATACTGTCTGCGCGCGTAGGACTTGTTAGTTGGATTGTCTCCCCGGTACATTAGTATGGAGAGAAGTATATATTATATTAAAGTCCTAGCTATATATATATATATATATTTATGTATGAGTATTTACGGGTTGGTGAGAGTTGTATATCATTGGGAATTGAGTTGTGGATTTGAGTTGTGGAGATGTTCTGGATTTTGGGATTTTGTGTTTTGAGTTTTGGTTTCTGAAGTGTGAATCTGCATGCTAGAGCATTATTTTTACATGGTGGGGTTATTATGTTGATTTAAAGTGAAACTTTATTTTTGTCCACTCACATATTTCTGTTTTGCGCCCCCCAGGCAATAGTCGCTTTTGGAAGCGTTCGAGCAGGTTGCGAGCCCCAAACTTTTCGTCAGTTGTCAGGGTTTGTGTAAATTCCTTTTACTCAACTGTCTGTTGTAAACAAATTCTGTAGATGCTCTGTTGTCGCCCATGTTAGGTTGTTACTTGTGGCCGGAGGCCATTTTATGTTGGATTGTTGTATGTTAAAAGCATGCTGGCAGTTGGAATATATCTATGATGTAAATTATGCAGGTTGAATATTGTTAGGGTTGAGCATTTTACAGGGGAGACTCTGCCAAAATTTTGGTAGGATGTCTTGGATTTTTAGTAAATGGGCCCGGCATCAGTGTGATGTCGGCACCAAGACGGGATCCGCCTCGGGTTCAGGGGAAATTCTGGGGCGGGTCCTGTCAATTACTATGCCAGAAGCTCGATGGAGGTTCAATAATGTTTCCTTTTCTGAACGCATTAAAAATTAAATATATTGCAGAATAAAAACACTGTGACAAGTATGACAATCAATTGCAGTGCTGTTGGCTTTTCCATCAATGCAGTCACCATTAGCACGCCAGAAGCTTGACTCAGCTTAATCGGTCTTCAGAATTTAAACCAAGTTTGTGGATTGTGTTTCAGTGAGAAAGCATTTTATTTTTCACAACCAAGTTTGCGCCAATTATTTGACACTTTGACGAAGCAAGGAAAACATAAGAGAAAGGAAAGAACATTTTATCTCATGCTAAGTCCACTTGACCTGTAGCATTCACTACTCAATCCTATAGTCCAAAGTTGACCCTGTACAATGCAATGTACATAGACAAAAAACAAAAAGAATGTAGACATGACTTAGTCAAGTTGGCTAGAGCAGATATGCTTCTCACTCTACACCCAAGTTCAAATCCTCCTACCGTAGTTTAGATGAAATGAAAGTAGAATATCGTTTGTATAAAAAAAATTAAATAAATAAAATAATATGACTTTTACATTTACAACATGGCTCTCTCAATTCCCAAACCAGAAACAGTTGGGTTATGCTAAAAAAAAAAAAAAAAAAAAAAAAAAGGTGGGGTGATACTAATGGAATATGTAAGATAAAATCCCTAAACAGTTGATGTTGTGGATTTCATAGCACCCAAGTCCTGATTCCTAAATCAATTTACCTTACCTGCATCTTTAATACACGACCTAAATCAAACAAAATAAAAAACTTACCCAGTTTCTTTGATAATAAACCAAACAAAATAAGAATGGAGAGAGCGAGAATCAACAGAGAAGAAAAGTAGCTAGCTCATCTGGTACTGTATCGCCATTCAATTAGAAAGTGGAAGAATTTTTGAGAGATAGGGCATAAGAAAAAGGGGCACAAAATTTAGAGATAGGCATAAGAAGGTGGGGAGAAATTTTGAGAGATAGGCATAAGAAAGAGGAGTATAAATTTTAGACGGTACATTATGAAATTTGAGAAATATGACATTTTTCTGCCAAGTGCTGCTATTTCCACCCCTTGTCCTATTTTCTCACCCATTTTCTCTTCCCCACCAATCATATAAATTTGAAAAAACACAATCCTATATTTCCACCCATCATTATTCATGAAATACCCTTTTAATCCATTTTGAGGAAAACACAAACAAACAAACACAACCTACCAATAAACTTTTGCCAATGTCCCACAAAGTCAAGCCACCATTCGCATAAGCTTCAGAACAATTTCGCAAAATTTCAAAACAAAGCTCAAATGCAACTTTCCAACTCCTTGAATCTTAACTACAACTTCACCGAACGAAATATATGTACTTCTTCTAAATACCCACAAAGTCAAACCATTCCAAAGCTTCAAGGGATACCCAAAAACTCCAAAACCAAGCTCAAAACAACCCCAGTTTTGTTCCAATTAGCTTTAGAAACCAGCAAAAGTTCCAAGCTCAGATTCCTAAAACCACAAATATTAAATCTCCCTATAGCCTTAACCCCATAAAAAAACAAAAAACAAAAAATTCGAGCAAACAGACCAAAAATCTTACTAAAATTGAACCACAAGCATCTCCCCCCCCCCCCCCACCCACCACACACAACCAACCCCCCCCCCCCCCCCCCCAACACAAACACACACAAACACCATGGTTTCAGAAACTTCAAAACCCACCTACAAATTTTAGTTTTTTTTTTTTCTTTTCTTTTGGATAAATAAGAAAACCCATGTACAAAATTTTTCAAATGGTTCACAAGACAGAGTAAATGCAAAGAAACATAGAAAAGTAAGATGAGAGGAATTACGCTTTGACTTGAGTGAGTGATACGGCAAAGAAGAGTCAACCTGGATTTTTTTTTTTCCTCTTCAGCTTCTATCTGCAGAGAAACAAGACAAACAAGAAGAAAAATGTAAATTTGTCCTGTCATTTTACAAATGGATAAATTTGTCTTTAAAATTTTTAAAATAAGGTGTTTTGAAAAATAATATAGATGGGTGGAAATAGCAGCACTCTTTTTGCCATGAATTTTGTATTATGGTTTACTGATATAATTTTGACGTGTGCGTTGTGCTGTAATTTTGACAAATTGGCTTTTAGGAAAAGTGATGTAGCATTAAATGAGTGGTTGAAGTTGAAGACATTTTGGTCTTTATTTTGTTGCTACCGACATAGGTGTACGAAGGTTGAATAAGCAGCCAACAATATGTAGCAGCAGCTGGTCCATATGATGTGTGGAGCATTCAAGAGTGAAAGACAGGCTTGACTTGGGAGAAAGACCCAGAGGAAAGCAAGAGAGTACAGAACTCTTGTGAGAGATGAGGTCTTAGGAAATACTGTGAGTGGGCGTACAGGGGTTTGGAGTTTGGCTATGTTGATTTAATTCCAATGTATCTTGTGTTGTTATTATTCTTATAGTGAAGTACTCTATTCGGAAACGTAGGCATGATTTTGCCGAACCTCATTAATCTTTGTTCCTTGTTTATTTTACGTTGTTCAATTGTGGTTGGCTTTGTGGTGTTATTATTTCTGAATCTCGGCATAGCACGGTGATAAAGCACAACGGGTGGTCTCACTCATACTTTGGACCTGAGTGGCTTGGGAAATAGTAGATCTGGATATAATGGTAATCGCCTCAGCTCCTGTTGTCCCAACAAATTTCTAGTAAATTTGATACATTAATTTCGGCACAATAATTGATGCAATTCAGGTGCTTTAGAGAAACATGCTGCCTATTTTGAATGGAAGAAACGTAATTATGGTGCAAACTTTCATTAGTTTTAGTAAGCACGGATTATAGTTAGCTACTTTTTTAGCTTTGAGGCAAGAACAAATTTTTTCTTCATTTTTCTTTGTCTCTCCGTCGCTGAATGGAGTGGCTCAATCTTCGTCTTTCTTTGCTACTTCTATTACTTGTCTTGCCAATTTGTATCAGCCAAGACAATTTAGGACCAGGAAAATCTATCATTGGAAACCAGACCTTGATTTCTTCCCTTGGGACCTTTGCATTAGGCTTCTTCAGTCCTGAAAATTCTACCAAATACTTTCTTGGTATATGGTACAACAAAATCCCAAAGACACCAATAATATGGGTAGCTAACAGAGAATCCCCACTTGATTCTCCGGGTGTGTTTACGCTCAGCGGTGATGGGAATCTAGTGGTGTTGGACACTGTGGATGGGACTAGAAAAGTTGTCTGGTCTTCTAATACATCAGTACCTGCTTCTGCAAAGAATGGGACAACTGGTGTACTAGTAGATAATGGAGATCTTCAACTTAGATTTGGAGAAGGTACTCTGTGGCAGAGCTTCGATAATCCCTCTGATACACTTTTGGCTAACATGAAGCTTAGCTTTAATAAAAGGACGGGCCAACGAAGGGCCCTTACATCCTGGGCTGCACTTGATGATCCACAACCCGGAAAGTTTACCTCAGGCATTGATCCTAAAGTGCCTGGCCAGCTTGTTATCTGGAAGGAACCGCTTACTTCCTTACTTACAACTTGGATGCTGAAGAGGTTTACGTTACTTATGGTGTCACAGATAATTCAGTCAAAATGAGGGTCATATTGAATCCAAATGGGCAGATTGAGCTGCTTCTGTGGCTAGATTTCAGTAAAAAATGGTTTTCATGGTGGAAGAAGCCTGTTGATACATGTGATTTCTATAATCGTTGCGGTCCATATGGTGCCTGCAATGATAAAAATGAAACCCTCTCATCACCATGCAAGTGTTTGACAGGTTTTCGGCCAAAATTCCAAGAACAATGGGATAAGGGGAATTGGGTTGGTGGCTGTGTTCGAGAGAAAGCATTGATGTGTAAAGAAGATGGGTTTTCAAAATTTTCTAAGTTGAAACTGCCAGATCATGCTGTTCTGTTAGAAAATATGAGTATGAGTGCGTGTGCATCTAAATGCTTCCAGAACTGCTCTTGCACAGCTTATGCTTATCCAAATGTGACAGCAGGAAGCATTAGGAAATGTCTGACATGGTTTGGTGATTTGATGGATATTCTAGATGATCAACCTGTTGATTCCCCGAGTTTACAAAATTATGGGCATGATGTTTATATTCGTGTTCATGGCTCCCAACTAGGTAAGTTTTGTGAATTTCTTTTGCTTTTTTGTGCATGGATTTGCCAATCAGAATCCGTAGCAGACAGTAGTTGGCCAGAAATGACGCTTACAGCAATCATTTTATAGGTCATTCCTTTTCTTTTCTTGGCAGGTCGTAAGAGTCATTCCCATAATGTATTGAAAAAGTCCCCTGTAATTGGAATAGCGTCGGCAACAGGGGCATTGATTACATTAGTTCTTGGCTATTTCTTTTGGAAGAAATACTTGGGAATGGAAGGTACAGTGCTACGACCCTTCTCTTTCTCTTTCTCTTTCTCTTTCTCACTCACACAAACACATATATTCTGGTGTTCCAAACAACCGATGCTCTAATAATAAGAATGAAACAGGGAGCACGGAAGGCAATATGAGTGAGACTATAACTAAAGCCAGAGCTGAAGCTGCGAAGAATGATGCAGAACTACCACTCTTCAGTTTAAAGAGAGTTTTAGCTGCGACAAACAACTTCAGTGTAGCGAATAAACTGGGAGAGGGAGGATTTGGCCCTGTTTATAAGGTGACACTTCCACTTTGTAATGCTAATTAAAGTTGTTCTTTCATAAATATTATAATTTCTTTTCTTGTTCTCCTAATAACCTTTTTCCTAATTAAGTAGAATTGGTAAAATGGTGGTTCACTTTGTGCGGAATTTTCCTTCCACTACAGGGGGTGTTGCTTGAAAATCAAGAAGTAGCCATAAAAAGACTGTCAAAGAAGTCAGCCCAAGGACATCTGGAGTTTATGAATGAGTTAAAGCTTATAGCCAAGCTCCAGCATACCAATCTTGTTAGGCTCTTGGGTTGCTGTATTGAAGAGGAGGAACTCATCTTGATCTATGAGTTCATGCCCAATCGAAGTTTGGACAAACTTTTGTTTGGTATATCCTCTTTCCTTCTAAGATTTGATTGTTTGATATTGTTGATTTCTCGGACATCAAAAGTCGTGTAATGCAAGATCTTTTTCCATTTGTCCTGCATTTCATATAAAAAAAGAAAAAAGAAAAACACTTAGCTCATTTTTTCTTCATGGTTTGTCCTATCAGCTCCATCTAACAGTACAGAATTAGATTGGGGAAGACGTTTTCGAATTATAGAAGGTATTGCTCAGGGACTACTTTATATCCACAAGTACTCTAGATTGAAAATCATTCACAGGGACTTGAAAGCAAGTAATGTGCTGTTGGATGGAGCAATGAACCCCAAAATTTCAGACTTCGGAATGGCTAAGATTTTTGAAATAAATCAGACTGAAGCAAATACCAATAGGGTTGTTGGCACATAGTAAGTATTTATATGTAGGGCATGTTTTCATTCATTTGCTAAACCTTATGCTATCATTACTATTGCTTACCTCTCTACCATCAACTCATGCAGTGGATACATGTCGCCAGAGTATGCCAGATATGGCCATTTCTCTGAGAAACTAGATGTGTTTAGTTTTGGAGTGTTGTTGTTGGAAATTGTAAGTGGAAAGAAGAATGCTGCTTTTTATCGCTATGAACATTCACCAACTCTTGCTGGATGGGTAAGTATAAATAATTCTAAACTATATATGTTCCTTTCTGTTTGTATGCCTTGTAAATTTGTGATTAACGGTAAAATTGAAGTTTAAGTATTTTAAATCTTAATTAGGCATGGGAATTGTGGAAAGAAGGTAGAGGAATGGAGGTGATTGATGCATCAGTAAGGGAAACATGCCCCCCTGATGAAGCTTTGAAGTGTATCCATGTAGGGTTTTTGTGTGTTCAAGAAGCTCCAGAGGATCGACCAACAATGTCTTCTGTAATTCGTATGCTGCAGGCCAATGAAGCCACATCACTTCCACCATCCAAGGAACCTGCCTTTTCAACTCACAAGAATTCCATACCTGCTGCTGTTAGTTCTTCTGGTCAAACACCTGCAAGTTTTTCTAACAATACAGTCACCATTAGTTTGGCAGAAGGTCGATAGATGTTCCTATTTGAATAAAATATTTGCATATTAGAGACTGTTAGAGTTACATTAAGTTTAGCCAAGTAGTCTTAAGCTGGTGTGCCAGCTGTCAGTTAGTTAAGTGAGTTTGTTATTAGTTTAGAGCTGAAGTCATTGACAGCTCCTGTATTCCGCCAAAAGCTGAACTCTATAAATACTGAGCCAGCTAATATTGTATTAAATCAATAGAGAAAATCAATAAAGAAATCCAGAACCTTTCAGTTTCTTCTTCATTTCCTCTGTTCTTACTTGCCTGGTTATCATGGTATCAAGAGCCTCGGTTGATCGCTGTCTTCTTGACGTGATTTCTTGGGCAGGAGACAACAATGCCTGGTTATCAGAGACAATAATGCTGCTCTCCCGAGGACCATATTTTGAGGACCTGTGAGGTCCAAACTTGTTACATCCGTTCGATTTAATCTAAGGGCTGGTGTTGCTAGCCTCTTTAAAATACCATTTCACCTATTTATAAAACCCAAGATTACATTTTTTATGTTTTGTTTTATATTTTTTTTACAAATAATTACTCTCTCTCCCTTGTCGTATTTTTCTCTCTGACTCTCTCGGCTTTTCACCCCTCTGAACGACAAAGTGAAATTATTGGCAATGAGTTGGAGAAAATAAAAAGATTTTTGCTTGAATTGAGTACTTAAAATGTGTCCATGTTGGGCTCTTATGTGTACAAGAAGATCCCGGTGATCGCCCAACCATGTCACAAGTAGTTTTCATACTAGGCAGTGAAACTGCAACTATTCCAGCACCTAAAAAACCCGCCTTTATTGTTAGGCAATGATGCCCTTCTAGAAGTAGCAGGGCTTCTTCTTCAAGCAAACCTGAAACATTTTCTATCAATGAGTTAACCGTCACATTAGAAGATGGTCGGTAGCCAAAGCAGTTCTTATGCCTCTATCTTCATCATTGTTGTCAAGTTAGTGCATCAGCATGAATGTTATGATGCATATTTCGTGTTTCTTTGCTTATAATCTGTAAGTGTAATTTGTATCGGTGCAGTAATATTTGGAACTTTTGGGTACAAGCACTGATGTTCAAGAAGCAAGGCTTATCTGATTTACCCTGTTCCAAATTGCAGTAATCTAATGTAACTTATGTGAACGCACAAGTCAATTGGGTTCCAAAAGTTTTATTTTCTCTGTTTCAAACTAGACAACCAGCCAGTACAAATCAATCAGAACAAAGAAGCTAGCCAAAATTAGGTGGTAGAAGGGAGGCATCATTCTAGAAGTCAGACTTTTTTTGTCCTATAATGGAAGGTGATCTCATTCATACTTTGGACCTGAGTGCCTTGGGAAATAGTACATCTGGACATGATTAATGGTAACCGCCTCAGCTCCTGTTGTCCCAACAAACATATGTTAATATTGATACATTAATTTGGACTTAACAATTGATGCAATTGAGGTGCTTTAGAGAAACATGATGCCTATTTTGAATGGAAGAAACACAATTATGGTGTGAACTTTCACTAGTCTTCTTTCTCTGTCTCTCTGGCTCTGAATGGAGTGGTTCTCTTGCTTTGCTACTTTTATCTCGTCTTGCCAATTTGTACCAGCCAAGACAATTTAGAACCAGGAAAATCTGTCACCGGAAACCTGACCTTGATTTCTTCCCTTGGGACCTTTGCATTAGGCTTCTTCAGTCCTGAAAATTCTATCAAATACTTCCTTGGTATATGGTACAACAAAATCCCAAAGACACCAATAGTACGGGTTGCTAACAGAGAATCCCCACTTAATTCTCCGGGTGTCTTTACGCTCTGCGGTGATGGGAATCTAGTGGTGTTGGACATCATGGATAAGACAAGAGAAGTTATCTGGTCTTCTAATATATCAGTACCTGCTTCAGCTATGAAGGCAACAACTGGTGTACTAATGGATAATGGAAATCTTGAACTTAGACTTGGAGAAGATACTCTGTGGCAGAGCTTCGATCATCCCTTTGATACATTTTTGCCTGGCATGAAGCTTAGCTTGAATACAAGGACGGGCCAACAAAGGGGTCTTACATCTTGGGCCGCAACCCGGAAAATTTACCTTAGGCATTGATCGTAAAGTGCCTGGCCAGACTTTTATCTGGAAGGAAAATGCTCCATATTGGAGAAGTGATCTGTACATTGGCAAACAGACAAACACAGCCTTTGATGTTGATGGAGAAAATGCTCCATCTTCAAATGGAACCACTTATTTCCTTCCTTACAACTTTGACTCTGATGAAGTTTATCTTACTTATGGTGTCTAAGATAGTTCAATCAAATTGAGGGTCATATTGAATCCCACTGGGCAGATTGAGCTGCTTCTGTGGCTGGAACACAGTGAAACATGGTTTGTATGGTTGAGGAAGCCTTTTGATCAATGTGATTTTTATGCTCGTTGCAGTCCATATGGTGCCTGCAGTAGTAAAAATGAAACCCTCTCATCACCATACAAGTGTTTGACAGGTTTCAAGCCAAAATTCCAAAATCGATGGGATATGGGGGATTGGCCCACTGGCTGTGTTCGAGAGAAAGCATTGATGTGTAATAGGGAAGATGGGTTTTCAAAGATTTCGAAGTTGAAACTACCAGATCAGGCTGTTCTGTTAGAAAATAAGAGTATGAGTGAGTGTGATCTCAATGCCTTCAGACCTGCTCTTGCACAGCTTATGCTTATGCAAATGTGACACAGGGAAACAATATAAGATGTCTGACATGGGTTGGTGACTTGATGGATCTTGTAGAGAATCAAACTTTTGGGCATGATGTTTATATTCGTGTTCATGGTTCCCAACTAGGTAAGTTTGATGAATTTCTTTTGCTTTTTTGTGCATGGATTTGTCAAATAGAAATCATAGCATACAACAATAGTTGGCCAGAAATGACACGTGCTTAGAGCCATCATTTTTATAGATCCTTCCTTTTCTTTTCTTGGCAGGTAGTATGAGTTCTCATAGCGTATCGAAAAAGTCCCTTGCAATTGGAATAGCCTCAGCAACAACGGGATTGATAGTTTTTGGCTATTTCTTCACTTTAAGGAAGGCAGTATGAGTGCTGAAGCTGCAAAGAATGATACAGAACTACCACTCACTTTAAGGGGAATTTTAGCTGCAACAAACAACTTCACTGAAGCTAATAAAATGGGAGAGGGAGGTTTGGCCCTGTTGATTTTTTCAGAAAATCAAGAAGTAGCCATAAAAAGGCTGTCCAAGAAGTCAGGGCAAGGACATGAAGAGTTCATGAATGAGTTAAAGCTTATAGCCAAGCTCCAACACACCAATCTTGTTAGGCTCCTGGGTTGCTGCGTTGAAGAGAAGGAAATGATCTTGATCTATGAGTACATGCCCAATCGAAGTTTGGACAAACTTTTGTTTGGTATATGATCGCCACAACTTCTAAGATTAATTCTTTGATTTTTTTTAATTTCTGGGATATCACATTTGATTACTTTCTGCAAGACCTTTTTTCATGTGTACAAAAAGCTTTATAGAAGAAAAACGCTAAATTCATTTTTCCTCATGGTTGGTCCAATTAGATGCATCTGCAAAGGCAAAACTAGATTGGGGTAAACGCTTTCAAATTATAGAAGGTATTGCTCAAGGAGTACTTTATATCCACAAATTTTCTGGACTGAAAATAATTCACAGGGACCTAAAAGCAAGTAATATACTGTTGGATGGAGCAATGAAGCCCAAAATTTCAGACTTTGGAATGGTGTAGGGGTCTTTTTGTTCCAGTAGCCTGACGAATGGGCTTGGGCTGCCGCAAGAAGAAAAAAGAAAAATTCCCCAAGTGTCTGAGTTTGAAACCAAGCTCCCAAAAGAGTTTTTGAAAAAGTCTGATGAAACTTTAAAGAAAACACTCATAGGTTCTTTTCACAAATAGCCAAGTAAACATGATAAATTGATTAATGGCTTAACTTGAGGAGCCTGTGGCATGGGAGGTAAGCTTTCACAAGTTTAGCAATTTGAGAGAGAGAGAAGCATGAATTTTCTACAGAGAACAAAAGTTTGAAGTAAGGCAGAGGAGAACTAGAGCGATTTCTATCTTAAAGGAAGAAGAAAAAAAAACAGACAAAGGAGAAGATTGGGTGGCTTGAGTAAATTCTCAGATACTTGACAAAGCTTGGTCAGGCTCTCAATGGTGATTTTGCTGGGTAGAAGAGGCCCCCCTTTTATAGGCACGAAGAACCATAATTTCATCTAGTCTTCTTCTTCCTTTTCCTTTGGTTGCTCCCCATTTAATCCTATTTTGGTGAAATTCTCCTATCCAAGGTGCATGGGTAAGGAACCCTTTGTGGTTCCAAGAATTTGACGCAGCTGGACCTCTCCATAAGGGTGAGGCGCCACCTGCCTTTCCTCTTGATTTACAAAATGAAGCTTTGTAATGGAAAAGAAGATGGGTATTCATCCTACCCTCATAGGTTTCCTTTGGTCTCTGTCATGGCTCATTTGTTGACCATTCTTGGAGTTCTAACAGAGGTAGAACTTGGTGCTAGATTTTTTATAAGTTGTTGGGCTGGGCTTGTATGCACGGTTTTGGGTCATTTGGCTTGTTATTTCCAACGTTTGATAGGCTTTTCGTCAAGCTGCTGGAAGTGGCTTTACTAATTTTGGGCATTCTTTTGATGTGGGCTTATCAAAGTATGCAGGCTACTAAATGTCTTCCTAAGATATTGGACCATTTTTCCCTTTTCTCTCATGCTAACCCATGTATTTGGGTCCGAGGAATGAGCTTGAGTTTTAATGCTCCCAAGTGGCTTAAAACTTTCATTCCCCAAACCCTCAATGGGCCTTGTGATTGCTTGTTACCATCCATACCACAACCCACTCAAGCAAGCCCTGGGTAATTTTGTGGCTTGGGCCCACTTAAGCCTGTGGCATAGCTTGGTGTTAAAACGATGGTTCTTCTTGCATGACACCTACGCTTGCTTGAGTTTTATTATGCCGTGATAAGCTATAATCGGGCCAAGTAACACCGAATATGCATGTGAGCGTGATTTTATAAAATTGGCATGCTTTTGGCCTTTGTGCAAGTGCTTGCTTGGCATGATGTGTGGCCCGTGGCTTGTATTGGTGTGTCCTACAAATGCTCTTTTGTCCTGATTGAGCTCCTTTTGTGTTCAACTATCTGTGTTGGGCCAATAATTAATCTGGGCTTGGCCCTTGGATTTTTGGCCCTCAACAAATGGCAAGGATTTTCAGGATGAATCAAACTAAAGCATATACCA